GGACCCGGAGGAGCCGCTGCCGCCCCGTGGGACCGGGGACAGGGGGATGCAAACGGCCGGACGGCGGGGGGGGGAAGGGGGGAGGGCTTTTTCCTCCTTGGGTTTTGTTGGGGAACTGTGTGCAACTCCTGCTTGCAACGTGTAAACGCTTGTGTAAAGATTTATCTGGTTCAGTGGGTGAAACGTCGGTTTCTATTCAGGATTGAACCGCTTGGCAGGCTGTTGTTGGAAGGATGTCTTTAAATTTGCTAGAGTGGAAGGTTAACATTTCTGCTTCAGGAAGAAATTGTTGCTGAAGCAGCTAGGAGTATTCAGCCAGCCCGTTTGAACTAGATACTGGAAGAGCCAGGAGAAGTTGTACTGTGGTAGGGTCTTCCTCCCTGGTCCTTCAGATTATATCAGGTTATAAAAACTGAAAGCTGAACTCCCTTATTGGATGAAACCATGGTATTTCAACTCAGCGGGATAACCAGCATTTAAACACACCCTTTCTCAGGAGAGTCCTCTCTGCTGCACCTGTGGTCTTGTCCAGGGCAGCAGCCAATGCCAAGAGCTTCAACAGTTACTGAAAGTAATGTTTTACTGGGTACAGAAAGATCTGAGGAGAAACTCCGTGTTAGAAAACCAGGTTACAGCTCCATCACCTTAAGCTCTTCCATTCTCCTTGGGCTGCCCAGGGAAGTGGTCACGGCACCAAGCCTGTCAGAGTTCAAGGAGCGTCTGGACGATGCTCTCAGTCATATGGTTTAGTGTTAGGTAGTCCAGCGAGGAGCAGGGAGTTGGACTCGATGATTCCTATGGGTCCCTTCCAACTTGAGATATTCTATGATTTGTTCCTAGCGCCCTCCCTGGAAAGAACAAGGTTCAGCCATGCAGTGGGTCAGGTCAGGAAACCGATCCAGCTGAAAACACCATTTATTTAATTTTCAGATGGATCAGCTTTTTTGTTTGATTGTACAGGGACCTAGACATAGGCACAAGAGAAATGGCTATATGTAGTAGGGAAGAAGAGATGTCCCCATTCATCATCCACGTTTAAGACCATGGTTCACTGGTCACTGTGAGCTACTCAAGAGTGCAGGTCCTACAGGTAGTCCTTGAGAAATGGGCTTCTCAAACACATGAGCACTTGAGAAAAGCTGTTTGGCTTTTTAAAATTGAATAATCTGTACAAGGTTTCTTCTTGCTATCCACCAGTCTGAAGCATACGGGCTGCAAATCTGATTTGACCCCATGATTTAAGCAGGTTTCTTGAAACTCGGCCTCATCTCATGGCAGCAAAGACAAGATTCCACAAGAGAACCTAATGTAAATTGATGCAGGGAAGGTGATAGGTGGTTTCATCCGTCACACCACAGCATCCTCTCTCAAGCTCAGTGATGGCATTTCAGTGTAGCATGAATATCCCAGCTGTGCTTATTCAAAGATCAAAGTGGTTCCGGGCTGCAAATCTGATTTGACCCATGCATTATAGCAGTTTCTTGAAACTCGGCCTCATCTCATGGCAGCAAAGACAAGATTCCACAAGAGAACCTAATGTAAATAGATGCAGGGAAGGTGATAGGTGGTTTCATCCGTCACACCACAGCATCCTCTCTCAAGCTCAGTGATGGCATTTCAGTGTAGCATGAATATCCCAGCTGTGCTTATTCAAAGATCAAAGTGGTTCAGCTGGAGCTGACTAAACTAGTATTTTTTGTTACACACATGCTGCATTACCCTTGGGTCCCTCTCACTGCCCACTGAGAGCTGCCATGCACCATAAAGAATGACATCCTCAGTATATACCACAGCGGGCAATAAAGAGGTGTGGAGTCCTGTGAACCTCACTCAGGCGTGGGATAAACCTCGCAGGACTCCTAAGGCCCTCAGTGGAGTGGAGAGCCCGTCTGCTCGCCCGCCCCAGAACCCCAGAGGGATGTAGTTCTGGATTCTCTCGTTACCTGAGAGAATTAATGCTTAAAAGCATGAAGTCCTTTCTGACTCGTGCCAAGCTCCTAGTCCCAGAGGTGTTTCATTTGCTGCAATGAGTCCCGTGTGCCAACCATCTTTTTCAAACAAGGTGAATGATCCCTTTCCCGGGTTTCAGCTCTGCTCCCAGTTCCAGGACAGCTCCCCAGGTTCACGTCTTGTGAGAGAGTCAGATTGCGACCTGGTCTAGGGCTGGTCCTGATGCTCCCAATACCGTCAGCACTGGGAGAACAACGAGGAGCTGAATTACCTGCTGCATTACAGCTGCTTTGCTCTAGCAGAATCCGTGAGCATTTGTCATGCTCTCTGTCCTACCCAGGCTTCTTTCACTCATAAATTTGCCCAGGAAAAAGCCACAGCCTCTTTTCAAGATTTGTTCTTCTCTCCATCTCCTGGATGATTCCTCCCTCCTTCCACCCCACCAAGTTGCTTCAACATCCATGTGCTTTGGAGAGGCATCCTCTGGTAGGTCCTCCAGTATTCCTGACACTCCCCAGAGTAAGCAGACAAGCCAAAGTAGATGGCTAGTATTATGGGAAAGCATGGGTACAAACACACACACACTCAGCCCCCTGCACCTTATTTCCGACAGAAAACAGTTGTTCTCAGACTCTTGCTTGGTGGTGTTTGCAGCTGAGGCCACCGCCGTGCCTGGGCGGTGTGTTGGTTTGGAGTCTGCTGGATGTCTGCTTCGGGCCATCACCTGCCATGCCGCGAGCTGGCTGCCCTGGGTAGCCTGCCAGTCTGCTGTGTGGGAAGGTGTCAGGGAGCCTTTTAGCGCTCTGAAAGCTCTGCTTATTAGTCCCTCACACCGTGTGAGGTCCATTGATTTGTGCACACAGCCACGGGGCTTGACGGGAATGGCATGTACCAAACAAACCAGCCACCCTCTCGGAGAACCTGACAGAGCTTCTAAATTACTTTCTCCTCCCCTGTGTAGCATATCTGTAAATACTGGTGTGCACAGTTAATAAGTTCCACCGAACATCAATAGATCAATGCAAGCTACAATCACCAGAAATATCTAAAAATGGATATTGGTAAAGGTGAGGAAGCAGAGATTTTTGTCTCTAGGGAATTGTTCTTGTGTATCTAGTGCTGTGTGTTTGTTTGTTTATGTACGGTGTAAGTGGCTCCTCTGTGAGTTGCATGCCTCTATTGCTAAGTGTCGCCTTTTGCAGGAAAAACCATTCTCTCGCTGAAACTGATACACTAGAAGCAGAATTCAGTTGTTGTTTGGAGGAGAAAATATGAGATAGACTAAAGCCAACTTCTGATGTGATTTCCAGGTTCTGAATAACTTCAGGATAATTGCTGGGGTTAGATGCAGACAAAAGCTACCTCTGTTCTTAAAAAAGATCCCCCAAATGGCTCTGCCTTTACATTTCTACAGAAAAGAACTGGGTGTTTTGAAGTAGAGGATGAAAGCACCAGCAGCGCAGCCTTCTGTGGAACTTGGAGGAAAAATGGGCTCAGGTGAGAACAAAGAAGAAAAAGCTGACGTGGGATTAAAACAACTTCAAACCCCACCTGAGGTTTTCCTACATTTGCTACATGTAATAACTAGTTCTTCTTTCCAGCCCGCCTGTGGAGCTCTCTCTCTTCTTGATATATGAAGGGGTTGAGAGCGTGTGGTTCCAAACCAGCCCCTTTCCAACGTGCCTGTTGGAACTGCTCCCCAGTGCCCAGTGCCTCTGCCCCTGGGGAACCCATTGCACCTTAGAGGCTCCCTCCGGCTTTCCGTTTTAAGGTGGTGTTTGTAATGGCAGCTGCATCTTCACCAGCTTCCTAGAGAAACAAGCAGTTGAAGCTGATGGATCACTTGCTATGTCAGCTGGAGCTGTCATCCCAGCGGCCTCGAGCTGAGTGAAGACTCAGGTTAACCCACCATGGCTCGCTTGCTACTTCAGTCATACAGGTCACAGATGGTGGGGTTTCTTGAGGAGTTTGATCATTACTCTTCCTTGGCCAAACTCATGTCAATCTACCAAGCAACCAACAGGACCAACTTCAACTGGACAGACAGCCGCATTGTCGAGTGGGAGAAATTTGCCGAGCTGGCTAAATATGAGCCGGAATCCCAGAAACCAGCAGTGAAAGCTCTCCTAATCGTGGCGTACTCGGTCATTATCATCATGTCTCTCTTTGGGAACATGCTGGTGTGCCACGTGGTGCTGAAGAACAAGAGGATGCACTCAGCCACCAGCCTTTTCATCGTCAACCTGGCAGTGTCTGACATTATGATCATGCTGCTCAACACGCCTTTTACCCTGGTAAGTGGCCCACTGGGCTGTCCCTTCAGCCAGGAGAGGAGTCTCTCACAAGAATGCTCTGCCTGGTGGTCACACCCTCTCCATGCATGCTCTTCTAGGACTGAGGCGTGAACCCAACACAATCAAGTCCAATAGACAGCTCTGCCAGGCAAGTAAAACACTGTTCAGCAATCTGAGGGCTCCCTTTGCTCTTTTAGACTCTGTATCTCCTAAAAGACTCTAAAGTATGCCACCAAACCACAGCAAGAGCTTCTTGGGGAATGCAGAATAAGTGCCTGGATGAACATGTACTTTTAATGTACATGCAGGAGAGCACTAGAGAGTCAAACTTAAAACTTAGTGTGTCAAAACAACTTGAATGCCAGTCATACTTGGGTGACTGGAAGAAAGTAGTCAAGCTTTTCAGAGCTGCCAGTTGGGTAAAGTCTTCAGTGAAAGCTCTCCAGACCTGGAGGGGGGTTTGTGTGACCAAAGCTTGGTCCACTTTTTCCAAATATAGTTGTTAGTATAATCAAAAAGTTATTACTGCTGTTCACAAATGGTGTTTATACGAATAGGCCAGGAGGGCTGCGACAGCACCACTCATTTGGTCTGTGGGTTTTGACCTTATAAACTCTTATGTAAAGGTGTTTCAAAATCCAACGTAGCTCATCTTCCTTTGGGTTTCAGGTGGAGCTGCCCAGCCAGCCAGCCAAAACCCATGTGCCAGCTCAGGTGCAATTCAAAGGGTTTCCCCATGGATTTGTTTTCAGTACGTTTGCTAGTTGATGACCTGTTGTTTTCCCCTCAGGTTCGGTTTGTGAACAGCACGTGGATCTTTGGAAAGGCCATGTGCCACGTCAGCCGCTTCGTGCAGTACTGCTCCCTCCATGTCTCCACGCTGACCCTGACGGCCATCGCCCTGGACAGGCACCAGGTAAAACGCCGCCTGTCCGCCGTTCCCTCGTGAGGCTCTTCCCAAGCCCCTGTCAGTCTCAGTCGAGCCATGGGTTCAAGGTGGCTGAATCTTGGGGATTAAACCCATACCCAGTGACAAGGCTCTAGAGCTAAATTCAAAGATGCCCCTCGTGTGTCGGGGTAGGAAGGCTTGATGGACTTTTGTAGGCTCCCAGGTACGGGGCAGGAGGGAAAAAACAAAATGTGGCATCACAGGTTTCACAGGACACTCCCAGACTTTCAGTGGAAAAGGGTGAGGACACCTTGTTCAACTAGTTTGAAAAGAGCCAGGTCCAACCTAGCCCCCAAGTATGGCAGGGCAAGTTGATTCAAGAGGCTTTGTTTTACATGGGGGCCTTGAAAGACAGCAGAGCCGACGCTGAGTGCAAAGTGTTACTTCAGCTGTACAGGGAACTTTTCCAAGCTTTTTAGTTTACCACCCAAAACCCATAGACCACCAGTCTGTAGCATCCTGACCTTAAATTCCAATTTAGTTGCCTGTTTGTTCTTTTGCTCTTCTTTTCCCGTTGGGCATTTGCCGCATCATCAAGTTGCATGGCAGTTGGGTAAAAAGAAATTCTGAGACTAAAGTCCCGTGGTATAACTATGGGACTAATGCTGGACCAGTATAAAGGGGAGCGGCAGAGTGGGAAATCTCTGTTGGAAATACTGGGAGGACATTTCAGAGCTGTGAGAAGACTGTACCCACCATCTGCCTGCAGCCAGGCCGTGTCAGCTGCCCACTGTGATAAACGCTTGCTGCATTACCAGTACAGGAAAGAGAGAGCAGCCCAGGCCGTGGGCTTATCTCTAGCAATCGCTCTCCTTTCCTTTACTATCAGTCAAATAGTGTCTTCCAGACTCTCAGATTTTATAAGCTCTTTACTTTTTCATCTAACAAGGGAAATTTCATAAAAGGTGAGTTAATGCCTCAAAAGAGGGGAGGAGGGCTCAGCTTCATAGGTTCAGCTAGAACAGGAGACATTTCTTTATGTAATTAATATAGAATAAACAAACATACCAACAAGTGAAGACACTTGTGTAGATATCTTCTTTTCCTACCTAATGTAATCCATGATTTAAGGAAAATGGTCCTCACAGGACAAAAGAGAGGAAAAAGTTTATTTGAAAGTACTTCTGAGCAGACTGAGAAGTTCAAGGTTTCCCATTTTCCAGGTCACACTAATAAGCAGGACATTTTCCTAATCGCAGCTGTCATTTTCTTAACAGCATTAGATCGTGTCAAAAAATGCCTCTGCTGTGTGCATTGGTGAAGGGACTTTGCTGTCCTGTGCGATAAGAGTCACGGTGAAGTCTCTGTTGCAGGTCATCCTGCACCCGCTGAAGCAGAGGATGTCACTAACGAAGGGAGCGCTGAGCATCTCTGTTATCTGGCTGATGGCAACCTGTTTCTCCCTACCCCATGCCATCTATCAAAAGCTTTTCCAGTATAACTACAGGTGAGTTATTTCCCCTTCCAAGTGAGCGTGAAGAGATCTGATAGCCCTCTGTGGCAGTGGCTGTCAGTGGTGAGAGCTGCTGGAGGGGCTCCCAGGCTTGGGGAGAGACATAGTGGAATCGGTGGGAGTTTGTGCGTGGATGAAATCTCACTTCCCACAGCAGAGGCTTGGCCCGCTGGAAGAGCCGCCTGGCTCACTGCAGGGCGCACGTGCCCTCGGGTCCTGGGTTTGCTTTCACCATCTCCCAAACTCCTGGACAAGGTGGTGAGTCTCACCTCCCAGCCTCATGCTGGTGGCAGGCTCCAGGCGCAGCCGGGCGGCCAGCACAGCCTGATCGGGGCATGGCAGGCCAGTGAGACAAACCTTCTCCAGTGTCATGATACTGTCAGGAGGGGCTTTGTCCCGAGAAAGCCATTTTTCTCCCGAGGGCCTTTCCTCTTCCCTCCTCACGCTCACGCAGCTCCTTGGACCTAAGAAGACCATGTCTAGCCAACTTGCTCAGGCAAGGAAGCAAGAGAGAGCTGAAGCTGCAGTTTGAGAAAGAAAGAAAATAAAACTCATGGTGTAAATATCTGGTACTGAGATTAGCAAGACTACACAGAAAGAACAGGGAGGAGAGGACCACCTTTGTGAGTCAGCAGGGCTGTGAACCCCAGGTCTCCGAGACCTCATATGCTGATTCACGCATTTTAGCTTCCTTGCATTTCATCTGGATTTATGGAACAGGACCAGCCTTCCTTAAAGCTTGAGGCTCCTCTGCCAAACATTACATAAACTAGAAAAGCAAAAGAGAAACCTCCACCTCTTCCTCTGCAGTGAAGGGCTGGTGAGAGGAACAGTGCTTTGTCAGGGAAACGAAGTTGTCTCAGTGTGCTGCTTTGCCTTGCCCAGCAGGGAAGGGAGCTCTTTGCTTGGCTGAATGCAGCAACAAAAGCAATTAAAAGGAGATGAAATAGAATTTCACATCTTCATGAGGACCTCTGAAGTATCAGAAGAAAGTGAAGGTTCTGATCTAGAGGGGAGAAAGAAAAAAAAAAGCTTATCTTCCCCCCCTTCCAGCTGGTCTAGTGATGGCATTCATTGCTGGGAAGTCACCCTCTCTACCAGGTAGAAATAAAGAACCAGAAGTTTTGGGTTGGTTTGCCCTTGCAATCTTTTGTTCCTCCATGGTCCCCAGCCTGCTCTGGTCCTCTCGTCCCCACCAGCCTGTGGCATTGCTATGGCTCCTCCTGGCTAGAAAACAGTCCATAATGCTACACAAACTGGTGGTTTTTGGGTTTTCGTTTGTTAAAGATGTTGCTGAAATGACAGCCCAGCAATGGAATAAAACAGGCCAAGGGGATAATCTTACAGTGAACAGTATTTTCAACCTGAGAGGGGCGTCCCAGGGAGCAGGGGAAGGAGGCGGTAATAGGCAGCAGGAGAAAGATTTCTATTATAGATATTGAGCTTCTGTATAAAGGACAAATATCTTTCTTCCTACAGCACAGCTACTTCCCTTCCATCAGCGTGGCAGGGAGAGTGTTTGACTGCCCGCACAGACTTTTTATTGCTGTTTGTATACGAGAGGTTACACAAAATGGGAGTGTAATCTGGGGCTTCGCAGCTCTTCCTTACTTGTGCTTGTGATTGATTTCACTGAGAGATACCTCCGTGGGGGATATAATATCTTCAACTGCTTAGACTTTGTAAACAAAGTGCTGGGTTACTCCTGTACTCGCGTTGCTTCGCAGCTGTGTTCAGGGTATTACTGAACAAATTGCTTATGAATGAACAAACGCCACTATCTGTTTCACAGCACCTGTCTCTGTTCATCCTTTAGCACGGCCAGAGGAAACCTAGCCTTGCATCGGCATGAGGCAGCTCAGCGATATAAGGACTTCCAGGACATGCTATTCTCATCCCTGCTTTCCATTGAATAAAAATGACAGTTGTAATATTGCTCGTAATAGCTCCTGCAGGGCCAGGAGCTCCTGAGAAGTCCCACCAGGGAGCTGTTGGGCTTCTGGGGTCAGGAGAACATGGGCCCCAGAGGCATCAAACCTCTCTGGCTGCAGTGCACAGGAGTGTGGCCAGGTCCACAGTCATACCAGAATTTACCAAAATACATCATCCTGTGGTTTTGCTCTCAACCAGCCTCTTCCCTGAAAGAATCGTAAGCCTCTTCTACAGCTCTGCGCCCCTCCTTTAGATGGTGAGAGGGAAGGGAGCAGCGAGGGCAGCAGCTGGTTTTTTGACTACCTGTGGGCTCACTCTGCTGCCTGCTCCGTTCAAATGTGTTTTTAGGCTCTGCAGGCACTGAAGCATCACCCTCGCCAGCCTTCAGCTGCACTCCAGTGCTGATGGCTGCAGCCCCGACACCATCCCAAGCTCAAGGTGTTCCCCAAACAGCTGATTCCCGGGGGGGAGGGGGTGAGGGATCACCACCCCGCTCGTTCCCCGTCGGTTCTGCTCCTTCCCTGCGGCTTTGCTCCTTGGCCGTGGCCAGGGAGGGTCAGACCCTGCGCTGCGGCGTCACCTTGGGTGCTGTGCTTTCTTCCTCTGCCAGATCTCCGGTTACTTTGGCAGGTCCCCTGGGGCAGGCAGGTGGGCAGGCACAGCTGCCTGCAG